TTAAACACTCATTGTGGCTACAAATACATAGAATATGATTATTTCTCATTTTGTCCCCAGATGAGAGTTTGGTCTTTATTTTTTAAAATTCTTTGGGGAGATAGAACTTGTTTTTGGCTATTTGGATTAATAAATTCTATCCACTAATCAACACATTAGGTGCACCTTTAGTTTAATTATTTTGATGCTAAGTAAAAATTCCCTAAGATTTTGTTGCATTCCTCTTTCCCTCTTCTTCCGCTCACCATTTCCTCTTCCTCTTCCTACCCCTCCTCCTTCATCTTTTTTGTCAACTACTGGGCTAGTCCCGATTAGACGTACTGGGCCTTAAGTGTGTGAGAAGCACATTCTAAGCCCTTTGCATAGATTAATTCTGCCAGTCAGCACGACTCCAGGTAAGTACTGGTGTCACTCAGTTTTTCAGACGAGGAAACTGAAAAACCAGGAGGTGAACTTGCTCGAGCTTAGTGCAGCTGCACATGGGATTAGCTTAGTTGCTTCTTTTGCACACTGTGTGAGGAAAGACGACAACGACTTATGATATGGATGAAGCCAAGTGAGTTTCTCTCTGTCTAGGTTTACTTGTTAGCCAAAGAAAGTGCCCTTTTACCTCATCCAACCTCATTTAGGCCAATGTACCGATAATCTCTCTAAATATTTATACTGTCTGCTGACCTCTTTCATTGAGTAATGCACCACAGAGAAAAATTTAATGCTTGACTGAAACACAGTTATTGAGTACATAGGTGAAGATAACATGAACTACTGCAACTCATACTATTTGGAAATAGTGGAAGACTATATCCATTTGGGGTTATCCAAGGGATTTTAAAAATAATAATAACAGAAAGCAACAGAATGTAATAACACAAACTAGGATATATGATGATAGTTCTATTGGTTGCCATTTGAAAGATGAGCACTAGTGAATACATTTTACTCTAGTTTACCAATGGCTTCATATGATATTTGTTGTCATCTAAAAGTTATTGAAAAGAAAGTGTGTCCAAAGTCTTTCATTTTGGGGAACATTTTAAATTGTTTCTTAAAGGAGCTTGTGGTTTTCCTCACATGTAAATTAAGTATAATTTAAATGATTGGGAATTACATAATTGCTTTGTGTGATGCAACAATTTAAACAAAGTAGACTCTCAAAAAATATATTTCAAGGGGCCGGCCCAGTGGTGTAGTGGTTAACTTCGATCGCTCTGCTTCGGCAACCCAGGGTTCACAGGTTCGGATCCCAGGTGTGGACCTATGCACCACTTGTCAAGCCATGCTGTGGCAGGAGTCCCACATATAAAGTAGAGGAAGATGGGCAGAGATGTTAGCTCAGGGCTAATCTTCCTCACCAAAAAAAAAAATATATATATATATATATACACACACATATATATATATATATATATATATATATACACATATATATATACACACATATATATATATATACACACATATATATATATTTTCCAAAAGAATGAGCTAGTCTAGAAAATTTGATTAATATACTTGGCTGAATTTAGATAATTTAAGCACAAAAGAAACTCTACATATAAAGAAAATAAATCTTAAATTTTGTTAGAAATGTTATATCTATGTAGTTGATTCATCCTTTGCTTTTAAGAAAAAAGCTTGAAAGTTATGACAAAGTGGGGGATGGAGAATTATGATATAATATTATCTGAATTATGTAAATTGTTTATGTAATCTGCATATTAGCTTATTTCCCAACTTTTCTTACATTTGCTAGTCATCCTCTGAGATTTCAGGTAGACAGTAAAAAAATATCTTCAAAACTAAGGAGAGAAGAAAGAGTGTAATATTGGAAGGGAGGCCATTAAAGGTTGCCATTAAAGGTAAAGAATCGTGGCAGATAGATCTGGAAGATATATCTGAGAGATTGCTATTATCACATCTCTGCACTCTCTGGAGGCTAAAACATTTGACAGCATGAAGTCTGAACAAAATATAAATTTATCTAGAAGTTAGAAAAAAATAGTATTGAGAATTGAGACATACTGAGAAAGCTTTATTACCTTAAAATTTCTACTAGCTTCAATGGCCATATTGCCTGAAATTAATTCATTTGGATATTACTCCTTTTGCGCAGTAAATTCTCCTATTCAGTTTAATATATTAAACCAATTCTCACTAAAGTGTTTGTAATATCTCCAATTAGCTTTTCCCCTGAAAAGAGAAGAAGATGAAGAGTGGGCTACAGAAAGAAGGGAAATGGGTCCAGAAAGATTAGGTCATAGAAATAAGTTTTGCCTCTTGAAGTCCTTGCTCAGATAGGTGGTAACTTCTCTGGGAAGCCTCCCATGATCACTGTATTTCATATTGCATCCTTCCCTTTCTCCTACATCCCTACTCTCATCTCTTTATCCTCATCTACTTTCTTTTGTAGCATTAGACACCTTGTAATAGTTTATAAAATTTGAGTATATATTATGTTTATTGCTTATTGCTTGTTTCTGCCATCTAAAATGTAAGCTTTATGAGGACAGGGATCTTTATCTATTTCGGTCATTGATATACTAATAAAGTGCTTAGAAAAGTGCCTGGGCCATAATAGGTGCTCAAATATTTATGGCAAAACTCCTCCCTCAGGGGAAAAAAAAAGAGTAATTAAAGGGCGACTCTAAGTTCGCAAAGATTTCTAAGATAAATGTAAATATGGAATCCTAAGTCTTTTGAATAATTCATTGAAATTCAGTGTGAAATTTTAAAGAGAAGATGGTTATTTCCTTTTCTGTACTACTGTTTAATTTATATTTCATCTTCCCTCCAGGGAGCATGTTGGGCTGATTATTTCAGGAAGTAAAGCTTAAAAGATAAGGGAGTTTATTTTATAAAAATGTGAGAAAGGAAAGAAGGAATGCATTGACTCATGGTTAGGGGATTTCTAGAGAAATAGCCATTCCTCCGTTTAATGCAGAGGGACTGTGTATTCTGTTTGTATCTCATTCACTTAACAGTTGTTATGAATTGGTGAGTGTTTTCGAGAAACTGAGTTTATTACAGAAATTTATATCATTTGATTTATCCCAGTTGGAAGAAAGAGAATAGGGCACAGTGAGAATGTTAATTAATTTACACTTTATTATATATTTAATTAAATTTTATTTAAATTTTATTAGATTGCCCTAAATCAGAGACTTCAAAATTTCAACCTGTAGACCAATGTTGTTTCATATAAAATATTAGTGACAAAATGAGAAAAATTAGGCTATCCATATTCTTCAAATCAGCAATTCCATTTCTAGGCATTTTTTCTATTTTTACATAGAAATATAATTATTAGTTACAAAGATATTCATCACAACATTATGTATACTTGTGAAAAAAATAAAAGCAATCTGAATATCTGCTAAAACTTCAATATGTTTGTACAATGCAATTTTATGCAGTCCAAGTATAAAAATATACTTGTTGACATGAAAAGATGTCCATCAAATACTAAGTCAAAAAAGGAGGTTTTAGGGGCCAGCCCTATGGTGTAGTGGTTAAGTTCGTGTGCTCCACTCCAGTGGCCTGGGGTTTGCAGGTTCCGATCCCAGGCGTGGACCTACACACTGCTCATCAAGCCATGCTATGGTGTCGACCCACTACAAAATAGAGAAAGATGGGCACAGGTGTTAGCTCAGGGCTAATCTTCCTTAGCGGAAAAAAAAGGAGGTTTTAAAGCAGTATGATCTGGTGTGTGTTATATACGCAAGAATATTCAAACATAAACCAATAGCAGTGGTTATCTCAAAAGAGTGGAGGATTTTTTTTAAGTTTTTCCTTTCTCATATTTTATATTTTTATACAATTAGAAATTAGAATTAATAAGATATAGCATTTATCAAAAGATAAGTTAGTGTTTGTGTATTATATCTTCATAATTTTGAGATATTTCACTGACTTGGCATTAAAAAGACAAGGTGGTGAACGTATATTTCTTTCATTTAATAGCTGTGTATGTTCAATAAAAGAGAGAATTTTATGTCTTATATATAGCTCTTCAATTTTTTAAAGACCACATGGGAAGTACTGTGGTCATTAGTAATATGTATAATGCTTCAGCAGCTTAGAACATACTTTTGCACACTGTATCTCTTTAGAGTTGTGGAAGGTGGGTTATATTATTGCTCCTGTTTTAGAAAAGAGGGGTTTTAATGCTCGTGTGCTTTATGTGATTTGCCCAAGTTCATTCAGCTAGTAAATTCTGGGCTCTGAAATTCAGATCTCCATGCCTACCTTGTTACCTCTCTGATCCTTTCCCTTACAGCTAGCTACTCTGACCCTGCCTCCGTTCCAGCCACACTGGCCTCTGCTGTTCCTCCAACCCCAAGCTGCTTCCACCTAGCTCTTTGCACCTGCTCTCCCCTCTGCCCAGAACACACTTCCCCAGATTGCCCATGGCTTACTCCCAGAGCTCCTTCAGACTTGACTCAATTGCCAGCTTCTCAGCGAGGCTTCCCGGCTGTTGTTCTGGAGCTCCCTACCCCCCTTCTCTGCTTTATTTTTCTCCAAACTACTTACCATTATATATATTACTTATTGGTTTTATGCTTCATCTGTCTCCCCTCATACATATGTTCCAAGAGGTCAGGTCAGCTATTTTTGTTTCTTTTACTAAACGCTGCAGCCCTAATGCCTAGAACAATGCTTGGCACGTATAGAGACTCAACAAATATTTGCTAACTGTTTATTAAACTGAAACATTTCTTGATTATGTTTAATATCAGGTATTGTATTGGGCGTTAGAGTTCTATATAAATGTTAGTCTTGCTAAAATATACTTAACTATGTCATTTTAATTTCAGGAGGGGGATGTGAAATAATTTCTTAATCACTAAACGTTTAAGTACGTGACATTGATTTCAACAAATTTGCCAAAAACAAATCTTATTTAGGGTACAAAACCATTGTTTATACAATCATTATGGCTATAGTAGCTATTCTTTTATTTCAGTTTTTTCCCGCTTCTCTCTCTCACTTTTGTTTTCCAGAAAAGAGGCACAATTAGATGAAGAAGGGCAGTTTCTTGTCAGAATAATATATGATGATTCTAAAACTTATGATTTGGTTGCTGCTGCAAGCAAAGTCCTCAGTAAGTTAAATGTGACTTTCGTTCTTTGGCTAAGTTACACATAGAAGCCCAAAGGATTGCCTGGTCCAAGATCACATTGTATAGTTTTACAGGTTGTACACTGCACAACCCTGGTGTGGAGGACATTCACATACAATGTTAGACTCAGGCTATGCTGAGTCCTATTTTTCCTTTTAAAGCTCTTTAGAGAAAGGAGGAGCTCTCTGCCCTTCCCCACAAAAAGCCATGCATGGAGAAGGAAAAAAATTATTGATAATATAATAATAACTTCAGTTACAGTGCCAACAACGCAGTAATTAAAAATGTATAGTATGCAGAAAATATTTATTCACAAATTTCTTTTGCAATCATGTTTTATTAGCTGTTGGTAAAAGAAAAAGGAAACTGAGATCTATATCAGACAAAGCTCATGCAAAGAAAGCAAAGTTCAAAAAAAACCTTCATGGAAAAAAGTTGTTCTCAAAGTCGTATCCCTTATTCTCATAGTGCCTGGTTTATAACGAGGCTACAGTGTGGATGGAATGGAAACAAGCTTTTTAGCTTTGCCAAATAGAATTAGAGGAGCAAACACTATCTATTGCAGAATACAAGAATTAAAAAAAAAAGAATGGTAAATTCCTAATAATAAGAAGAAAAATGTCCGGCCCCATTAGTAATCAAAATTGAAACAAACATGAAATATCTTTTTTTCATATAAATTTGGCAATTAAAAAAAGTAAGTAGTTAGTAAAGGGTAGAGTTAAAGGGGAAATCATACACATTTTTAATCTGATAGGAAATTAAGACAACTTTTTTGGAAAATTATTTTGCATTGTCAAAGTCTTGTAAGAAATGTTCAAATGCTTTAGTAATTTTTTCTAAAGAAATTATTAGATTTCTTTGATTAAGATTTATGTATGTTTTTATTTCTGAGTTACTTATATTATTAAAAATTGGAACAGCCTACATTTTCCATTTCCATAAATAAGTTGTTGCATCCCTATGTTGAATAAGATGGGATTAAAATTGATATTACAGAAAAAAATCTAAAAATTTTAGGAAATATTAATGATTGGATATTTAAAAAAGCGGGATATTAGGGTATGTACTGTATGAAACCACCTTATTAATTATATATACTTATATAAAGAAAACTATTTATACCAAAATATTGTCAAGTGCATTCTTGATAATTTTCAAAATCTTTCTATATTTTTCAGGAAAAATAAATAATACATTAAATATATGTTTTAAAAAGCTCAAAATGAATTAAATAGTTTGTCATAGAAGCTGAGAAACTGACTTACTTATAAGTACAAATTTACACTGTTAACATGTTAATATGTTGTCCTCTCAGATTTCATTGTCTTGTCCCTGCCGGAATTGTTTCCTGTGATCTATATTCACTCTGCACACAAATTGAGGATATTTAAAATTTTTTTACTGTGCACTTATCTTCATTCTTCCCATTAACAATATTCCACCTATAATATGTTTTTTGTTCTTGTTCTCTCAAACTTATAAAATAGATCTCAATGCTGGAGAAATCCTCCAAATGTTTGGGAAGATGTTTTTTGTCTTTTGTCAAGAATCTGGTTATGATACAATCTTGCGCGTCCTGGGATCTAACGTCAGAGAATTTCTACAGGTAAGCAATTTGAGGTGCTGTAGTTAAAGGGTCTGAGTTTGTGATTCTTAAATATAAGCTCTAGAATACTTCTGTTCAGCATGTTGATGAGAGTGTCTTGCTGCTGAAATGGAATCACAGTGACTTGTTTCTGATTCACATGAAATAATAGTTATTGGGTGGTCTTGGATACATTTTAGCATTTTTGCTTCATACTTTTTCCTTAACTTTTGGTTGCTGATGCTGAATATGCAAGTTGTACATTAATGTCTTCTGAAAAACTCAACATGGCCTATTGCGACCTGTTCAACTGCCTTTTTATAAATGGTTCTATGTGCTAGTAGTTGTCCTTTTATGTTTTAGATGCATACCATGGTCTCGCTTTCTATTTGAAAGGTATTCCTAACTTGTATAGCGTAATTAAATAGTATTTCAGTATCTAGGACGTTCTACCCAGAGCTCGTTGTTTAGGAGAAAGTATCATGGGTTTCAGGTGCTCTGCCATCAAAACAAATCTGAGAACCATTGCGCCAAGTAACATATTAATTAATCTACTATAGAAAGGAAAATAGGAGACCTTCCCAAGTCAGTTTCAGGTGAAGTGCAAGATAAATAATGTCACCAAAGGCATTTGTCTTCTATTCTTGTTAACATTACCTTAAAAGTTTTTACTAGTAAATTACACATTAGATGAGAGGCTATTTCTGGATTGACTGTCCTATTTTAAGCACTAGGATTTGTGAGACCCCCTTTTTGAAATGTGTTAACATTGAAAATTATGTGGTTGTTTGTAAAGGATATTTCTAAACCGGCTGCTGAAAGCAGCCAGATCTTGCTGGAAAATGATGTCACTGCAATACTAGCTGAACCAAAGCCCAGTTTTGAGGGAATGTAAACTACTTTCAATCCAGCTGCGTTATTGATTTAACAGCCAAAATAAGAACTTTAGTGTTTAATCAAAATGTCTGTTGTTTACATAGTGACATTTTTCTTATAAACTTAAACCAGTGTTAAATCAAGATGGAAACCGGTTTGCTCTCCCCTGCCATGGATTTACCAAACTACTGGTGTCAAAAAAAAAAGCTGCCACTTCCAAATGAGGTAGCTGCCAGGAGGCATATAAGTTAAGCTTTAACAGGCTCTATTTCGGTGAATTATTTTAAATGGATTAGAGTTTGATATTTAAGAGTATTTTGGGATTTTGGAGTTTTGAATACATATTCCATTTTTAATACTTTGTAGACTCCTGTCACCTTATCAGCAAAGTTTCAACTCGCAGTTCCTCTTTCTTAATTATAAGTTTCTCTCTCAATGGCTACATGTACGTAACAAAGCAAGTACTCAAAGGGATTTACAAATTGTTTTTTTTTTAACCTTTACTCATTGTGCCAATCTCAATGGCACAGTAAGAGAGCAAGCAGTCTCTTGTGCGTTTCTCTATGTTCTAGAGCTGCGCTATCTAGTAGGATAGCCGCTAGCCACGTGTGGCTACTAAGCATTTGAAATGTGATGTGCTGTGTGTAAAACACACGCCAGATTTCAAAGACAGTACAAAAAGAATGCCAAAATAGCTCATAAATATTTTATATTGATTACATGTGGAAGTTATAATATTTTGGATATATTGAATTATATAAAATATGTCATTAAATTAATTTCACCTGTTTTTGTTGTTTGTTTGTTTCCTTTTTTTAGCATGGCTACCAGAAAATTTAACATTACATATTTGATTAGTATTTGTGGCTTGCTTTAATGGCTTTTATTGCCTCCTATTTCCGTTGGACAGCATTATAGTTCTAAGTCCTTTTACTTCAAAGTCAATAGGCAGCTTTAGTTAACATATCTTTAAGTTACATACAGTTTTATTTTATTTTTCTTTCAGTGTGAGGGTGAACAATGAAGAAACTAGAAAGTTATACTACTATGAAGTTTTCATCAATATTGTACATTTTTGATCTAATTCTTTTTTTTCCTGATTTTGAAATTGCATATCCTAAGAGCAAATTGAATGTATTAAAATATTGCTTTTCTTTAAAGTAGATATGTAATGATTAGGCTAATCACGTAGAAATTAAATGGACTTTTTTTCTATATAAGTGATTATAAATAAAGCAACTGATTTTCATAAATTGTGTTAAGATCCTAGCTCACATATAAAAATTGACATTTGTCGTTGCATAAATTAATAAAACATTCTTTGTGGTAGACGTCAACCCTTCACTAAAGATTGAGATACACTGGGCCTTGTTTTAAAGAGAGTTTAAAGACTTTTCTTTCTCTTTCACCCCCAATTTTAACCAATCACCAAATCCTTATGGTCTATTTCCTAAACACTGAATTTTGAGAATTCTACCACTTTTCTTTATTTTCCCTATACTTCCCTGGGAGAGTCTGCCATTATCTAGAGGTTGGATAGTTACCCTCCCTCTCTTCATGACTCTTGCAATCTCTTCTCCTGTCTGTAACTCTAGTGATTTTTCTAAAATGCGAATATATCTCATCATATCATTTCTTGCTTAAACCCTGCAGTGACTCCCCATTGGTCATTGGAAAATGTTGAAAATAATTAAAACAATTGAAACTAGTTGCATCCTCTAGCCATCCGTCCTCTTCCTTTCCCCCAGCCCAGCCAAACAGAACTTCTTTTAGAACCTTTTTTTTTTAATCTTCCTCTCCTATCCTCTGAGCCTTTGCACCTGCTCTTCCCTTTGTCTGGAGCACTGTTCCTGCTCCTGTCACCTGGATAAATCTTATTTATCCTGCTGGTCAAATTACTTCTTCCAGAAAGTCTCCACTCCTCTTTCCAATCTCTACCCTATCTGAGTCAGGGTAATTCGCATTTCTCACGTTTTCATAATACACTCTGTTTTCTCAGCTACGGTTGTTCTCACCCTATATTATCATTTCCTGTTTGTTGGGCTGGAATGTAAACTTCATGAAACCAGAGACCATGCATAATGTCTTAATGATGATATCTCCCCTGATGCAATTTGTGTATCTGGGAATGAATGAATATATATATATATATTTTTTATTAATGAAGATTTGTTGTTTGTATAAAAATAGGAAGCAGATAAACCAATCGCTCAAGATTAATTCTTTTATTAAGGATAACAAAAACCTATTTTGAGTGAGACTATATAACTTTATTTGGAGATGAATCATAGTTGGAAATATAGAAGAATAGACAGACACACACTAGAGTAATTTTCTTTTCCTGTGGACATGGCAAATTAGTGTTTATTAATTAATTTACAAGTTATGTTATTGTATCTGTTGAAACTTTTTTAATGTTCATCCTAGTATTTCCATTTGAAGCTCTCAGGGAAAAATAAAATAGCTGCTGAAATCATAACCCAAGAAATCATTTGACCATTGCGTTAGACTGGGGAGTTCTGACCACTCATTGTTCCACAGAGGACTTCCTCGGAAGTTCTCTCTCCCCAGCCTCTCAGTTGAATACATTATTAAGAATGGCTCTCTATTAAATATACATATTTTTGCTTTCCTTGAAATAATTTTTAAAAGTTTTCTGAGTACCAGGCACAGCATATAATAGGCAATCAAAAGAGAGTCTTTGAATGATAGAATTAGTTAATTCTAAATTCTATGTATATATATATTTTATTTGGTCCAGGCTATTTTATTGAGATAATATTTCTGTCCTTTACAGAAATTTTATATTCAAGGACATATTGTATAGATACTGTATGTAGTTTAGTTCAAGAAAAATAATTGGTTTTCACATGAATTTTTTCATTTCCTTTGATTAATCAATTTGAACAATTTAACAATTTTAACTATTTAAATAGTGGACAGCCCCCCTTTGGAAGGCTTGCTACAAATATCAAACTCATGGCCCTCCTTATCTAATCTGTCTTGTGCTCCCAAATTCAATTTTAAAAATTTTGCATTTGGCTTATTTTTAATGTACCTCAAGACCTCAACAAAAAAATAGCTTAAAACCCTAAATGGCAAAAGTAATAAAATACAAGAAATATTTTTAGAGGAAGCTTTTTAGAAACATTACTTTTCCCTAGACATTACATAGTTTGTAATTGATTTTTCTTAATCTCTTGTAAAACCATCAATTTGTGGACTATTGATAAAAGTAGATAATCCTTCGAATTTATTATTATCATTTGGCTGACTTAGTAAGTGAAAACCTGATTTATCAAAAAGAGATAAAGAAAAATAGAAATACATTTTTATTTTGATTTTTTGGATTTTATACATTTTACCTGGATGTATCATCTTAAAGATAAGACCATATTTCAGCAAGGATTTTTTTCTCTATTCTACCTCTTTTTCTTAAATTAAGAATAAAATGTGTGGTTCTGTTCTGCTGCTGTAGTAAATTTCTGTCTGAAGCTTCTAGTATATTGATCAAAACACTGTAGAGAATATATAGGATTTGACAGCTCCATCAGAAAACAGCCAGTAAGGATTGTCCGATTTAATGGTATTTCTACCTTAATACGTGCTCATCTCTACTTTCCAGTGTCCTATTGCATTATTGCAAATTGTATTTTCCCCAAATCACTGCACTCATATCTCCCATCTCATGTGCTCTTTTGCCATGTGGTTTGGCCTCTCCTCCATCAATAGGTGAAATTTCCCTTCCCTTGAATCTGGGCTGGCTTTAGTGATTATTGGACCAATAAAATGTGGCAGAAGTAACATTTTGGCACTTCCTAGGCTAGTTCATAAGAATTCTTGAATTTCTTGGAACAGTTGCTCTTGGGATGCTCCCTCTAGGAACCCAGCCACACGAAACGAGAAGCCCAAGACACATGGAAGACCATGTGTCTGCTCTCACATAGCAGCACTAGCTGAGCTCCCAGCAAAGAGCCAGCAACAACTGCCAGCCATTTGAGTGATCCATCTTGGGAAACCAGCCTGGTAGAGCATTATGATGACTCCATCCCCAACTTCCATCTGACTCCAACCGAAGAACTTCCTAAGTCCAGACAACCCACAGAATCATGAGATAACAATAAATTGTTGTTTTAAGCCAATAA